GGGTATGATCTCCTGTTTTAATACATAAGGGGGGGTTGATTCCGTATAATACATAAGGGGGTATGATCTCCATGTTAATACATAAGGGGGGATTTCCCAGTATATACATAAGGGGGGTTGATCTCCATTTAATCAAAGGGGGGATTATCACCCTGTTTAATACTAAGGGGGGGGGTTTTATCCCATGTATAAACTAAAGGGGGGATTGATTCCCCGTATAAAACTAAGGGGGGGTATTCCCCGTTAAAACAAAGGGGGGGTTGATCCCTGTATAATACATAAGGGGATTGATCACAAAGTATAAAAACATAAGGGGGGGGGATTGATCTCCCTGTATAATACATAGGGGGGATATGATCTCCATGTATAATACATAAGGGGGGATATGATCTCCATGTATAATACATAAGGGGGGATATGATCTCCCCTGTAAAAATACATAAGGGGGATATGATCTCCATGTATAATACATAAGGGGGTATGATCTCCATGTATAATACGGGGGGAGGTGATATCAACTATGGTTATAATCTACATAAGGGGGGGTGGGGATATGATCTCCATGTATAGAGAACATAAGGGGGTGAGATATGATTCTCCCATGTTTATGTGTTAAGTAGACATAAGGGGGGATATGATCACACATTGTATAATATGTTTAGAGGGGGATATGAATCTCATTGTATAAATTACTTAATGGGGGGATGTATGATCACCATGGTATTATACCATAAGGGAGTGTAGGATCTCCTTGTATAACTACATTAAGGGGGGGATATGATCTCCATGTTATAAATAAATAAGGGGGAGTTGTGATCTCCTAGATTGTAATGCTCAAAAGAGCAGGGGCCTCGATCCTCCTCATGTTTTGCATTGTATTGGTATTGTTCATGTAACATGTTCTGTCTCCCTTTGTATATGTACAGCGCTGAGGCGAAACTATTGGCGCTTTATATATACTGTAATAATAATAATGTATAATACATAAGAGGGGATAGGATCTCCATGTATAATACATAAGGGGGGATATGATCACCATGTATAATACATAAGAGGGGATAAATAGATCTCCATGTATAATACATAAGGGGGGATATGATCAACCATGTATAATACATAAGGGGGGATATGATCTCCATGTATAATACATAAGGGGGGGGATTATGATCGCACCATGTATAATACATAAGGGGGATTATGATCTCCATGTATAATACATAAGGGGGATATGATCTCCATGTATAATACATAAGGGTGGGGGGGATATGATCTCCATGTATAATACATAAGGGGGGATGTGATCAACATGATATTAATACATAAGGGGGGGATATGATCTCCATGTATAATACATGGGGGGGATTATTTATGATAAAACTCCTGTTCTTTATCATAAGGGCCATGTATAATACATAAGGGGGGATATGATCTCCATGTATAATTACATAAAGGGGGACATATGATCTCCATGTATAATACATAAGGGGGGATTATGATCACCATTGTATAATACATAAGGGGATTATGATCACCATGTATAATTACATAAGGGGGGATGTGATCAACATGTATAATACATAAGGGGGGATTATAATCACATGTTATTTAATACATAAGGGGGGATGTGATCAACCATGTATAATTACATAAGGGGGAAATGATCACCATGTATAATACATAAGGGGGGATGTGATCAACATGTATAATACATAGGGGGGATATGATCTCCATGTATAATACATTAGGGGGGGGATATGATCTCCATGTATAATACATAAGGGGGGATATGATCTCCATGTATAATACATAAGGGGGATATGATCTCCATGTATAATACATAAGGGGGGATATGATCACCATTTATAATACGTTAAGGGGGGATATGATCTCCATGTATAATACGTAAGGGGGGATATGATCTCCATGTATAATACATAAGGGGGATATGATCTCCATGTATAATACATAAGAGGGGATATGATCTCCATGTATAATACATAAGGGGGGATATGATCTCCATGTATAATACATAAGGGGGATATGATCACCATGTATAATACATAAGGGGGGATATGATCACCATGTATAATACATAAGGGGGGATATGATCACCATGTATAATACATAAGGGGGATATGATCTCCATGTATAATACATGGGGGGGGATATGATCTCCATGTATAATACATAAGGGGGATATGATCTCCTAGATTGTAAGCTCGAAAGAGCAGGGCCCTCGATCCCCTCATGTTTTGCATTGTATTGGTATTGTTCTGTCACATGTTCTGTCTCCATTTGTAATGTACAGCGCTGAGCGAACTATTGGCGCTTTATAAATACTGTATAATAATAATAATGTATAATACATAAGGGGGGATATGATCTCCATGTATAATACATATGGGGGATATGATCTCCATGTATAATACATTAGGGGGGGATATGATCACCATGTATAATACATAAGGGGGGATATGATCTCCATGTATAATACATAAGGGGGGATATGATCTCCATGTATAATACATAAGGGGGGATATGATCTCCATGTATAATACATAAGGGGGGATATGATCTCCATGTATAATACATAAGGGGGATATGATCTCCATGTATAATACATAAGGGGGTTATAATCTCCATGTATAAATACATCAGTGGTTCATATAGTGAACTCGGTGCAGAGCTATTCACCTTGAGGTCATCACAGAGGACAAGGGGGCGCTCTTTACATCTGGAGGAAAAGAAATTTAATCTCCAAACACGGAAAGGTTTCTTCACAGTGAGAGCTGTGAAAATGTGGAATAGACTCCCTCAAGAGTTGGTTCTGGCCAGCTCTGTGAATTGCTTTAAAAAAGTCCTGGATTCATTCCTAGATACACAGAATATAACTGGATATAACATTTATAGGTAAAGTTGATCCAGGGAATATCTGATTGCCTCTCGGGGGATCAGGAAGGAATTTTTTCCCCTGCAGGAGCACATTGGATCATGCTTTGCTGGGTTTTTTTTTCCTTCCTCTGGATCAACTGTGGGTATAGGATTATAACTTTTTATTTTCCTATGGTTGAACTGGATGAATTTTTGTCTTTTTTCAGCCAGACAAACTATGGAACTATGGAAATGACACTTTGCTACAATGTGACGTAGTGAGTGTACAGCTTGTATAACAGTGTATAACATTTGCTGTCCCCTCAAAATAATTTAACACACAGACTTTAATGGCTGTTATTTCTTCTGTTAATTCATAAAGAATGAATCGGTTTCCTCGGCAAGGTTCAGGTTTGTCAACTCTGATGGAGAATGTGGTGTAGGAGTATTTGGGGAATCTTCTTATGAGGGATACACAGTAAGTGCCTGAAACATGAAAGAACCAGCTTTGTTCATGCATTCAGTGAGAACTAACTATATGGTAGAATATAATGGTTCCTACTGGTGCTCTTCTTCAGGGATGCAACAAGACGAAGGGGTCAGTTTGAAGTTTTCTTTCTCTAGATCAGGGGTCTGCAAACTATGGCGCTCCAGGTGTTGAGGAACTGCAAGTCCCATGAGGCCTTGCAAGACTCTGACAGCCACAGGCAAGACTCCCAGAGGCAGAGGCATGATGGGACTTGTAGTACTTCAACAGATGTTTGAAGACCCCTGCTCTAGATTCCTGTATAATCACCAGTAGGGTAGTCCTTACCTGTTCATGTTCATTCTGTTTGTTCCTACAGTTGGAGAAGAGCGTCCGGCGACTGAGAGAGAAGTTCTATGGCCAAATCCCAATAGAGACAGCAGTCCATCTCATGAGGAAGTTTGCCAACAATCATGTTCAAGTGTGTCAATACATCATCCTGTGCAAGGATGACCTTAATGGTAGGTACCGCAACTGACACTACAAGCATTTCCTTCTGGGGTAGGCTCTGTTATTGTACATTACATGGTCACCTGACACACCACTTTCCTCTGTCACCTGACACACACCGCTTTCCTCCGTCACCTGACACACACCGCTTTCCTCCGTCACCGGACACACACCGATTTCCTCTGTCACCGGACACACACCGCTTTCCTCTGTCACCTGACACACACCGCTTTCCTCCGTCACCTGACACACACCGCTTTCCTCCGTCACGGACACACACCGCTTTCCTCCGTCACCGGACACACACCGCTTTCCTCCGTCACCGAACACACACCGCTTTTTCTCCGTCACCGGACACACACCGCTTTCCTCCGTCACCTGACACACACCGCTTTTCTCCATCACCGGACACACACCGCTTTCCTCCGTCACCTGACACACACCGCTTTCCTCCGTCACCTGACACACACCGCTTTCCTCCGTCACCTGACACACACCGCTTTCCTCCGTCACCTGACACACGCCGCTTTCCTCCGTCACCTGACACACGCCGCTTTCCTCCGTCACCTGACACACGCCGCTTTCCTCCGTCACCGGACACACGCAGCTTTCCTCCGTCACCGACAGACACACACACCGCTTTCCTCCGTCACCTGACACACACCGCTTTCCTCCGTCACCGGACACACACCGCTTTCCTCCGTCACCGGACACACCGCTTTCCTCCGTCACCGGACACACACCGCTTTCCTCCGTCACCGGACACACACCGCTTTCCTCCGTCACCTGACACACACCGCTTTCCTCCGTCACCGGACACACACCGCTTTCCTCCGTCACCGGACACACACCGCTTTCCTCCGTCACCTGACACACACCGCTTTCCTCCGTCACCTGACACACACCGCTTTCCTCCGTCACCGGACACACACCGCTTTCCTCCATCACCGGACACACACCGCTTTCCTCCGTCACCGGACACACACCGCTTTTCTCCGTCACCGAACACACACCGCTTTTTCTCCATCACCGGACACACACCGCTTTCCTCCGTCACCTGACACACACACCGCTTTCCTCACCGTCACCGGATACACACACACCGCTTTCCTCCGTCACCGAACACACACCGCTTTTCTCCGTCACCGGACACACACACCGCTTTCCTCCGTCACCGAACACACACCGCTTTTCTCCGTCACCGGACACACACCGCTTTCCTCCGTCACCGAACACACACACCGCTTTTCTCCATCACCGGACACACACCGCTTTCCTCCGTCACCGGACACACACCGCTTTCCTCCGTCACCGAACACACACCGCTTTTCTCCGTCACCGGGACACACACCGTTTTCCTCCGTCACCTGACACACACCGCTTTCCTCCGTCACCGAACACACCGCTTTCCTCCGTCACCTGACACACACCGCTTTCCTCCGTCACCTGACACACACCGCTTTCCTCCGTCACCGGACACACACCGCTTTCCTCCGTCACCGGACACACACCGCTTTCTTCCGTCACCGGACACACACCGCTTTCCTCCGTCACCGGACACACACCGCTTTCCTCCGTCACCGGACACACACCGCTTTCCTCCGTCACTTGATACACACCGCTTTCCTCCGTCACCGGACACACACCGCTTTCCTCCGTCACCTGACACACACCGCTTTCCTCCATCACCGGACACACACCGCTTTCCTCCATCACCGGACACACACCGCTTTCCTCCGTCACCGAACACACACCGCTTTTCTCCATCACCGGACACACACCGCTTTCCTCCGTCACCTGACACACACCGCTTTCCTCCGTCACCGGACACACACCGCTTTCCTCCGTCACCGAACACACCGCTTTTCTCCATCACCGGACACACACCGCTTTCCTCCATCACCTGACACACACCGCTTTCCTCCGTCACCGGACACACACCGCCTGGGGCGTATCTAAACAAGGCGTTTGCCTACTGCGGCAATTTTTAGGGGGGCCGCAAAGCCCCCCCCCCCCCCCCCCGAGAAGGGACCTTTTGAGAAGTGGTGGACAGAGCCATGCAGGACCACCATCAGAGGGGTACCTTTGGTACAATTGCAGTAGCCCAGACAGCAGGAGGATCGATGTGGGGGAGGGCAGTTGCAGAGTGATGCTCCTGTACCTCTCCCTCCAGCAGCTGAGTTGCCAGGACCAGAGGACAACCTGGAGCAGGGAGAGAAGAGCCCAGAGGAGGTGAGCTGTGCTGTGTTTTCTGGGATCTGCCTGCCTCCCTCCCTACACTGACAGATCATATGGGACTGCACACACCTCCCCCTCCCCTTCCTGCTGCATGGAGATCAGCAGCCCTTGGAGGAGGTGTGTGCAGTCCCATAAGATCTGAGAAACGAACAGAGAGGGAGGGGGGAGGGAAGAGAGAGGGGAGTGAAAGAGAAGATAGGAAATACAGAGAAGGGGGGAGAGAGAGAGAGAGGGAGAGAGAGAAGAGAAGGGGGGGGGAGAGAGAGAAGAAATAGAGGGGAGTCAGAGAAGAAAGACAGGGGGGGGAGAGAGAGGAGGAAAAGAGAGAGAGGGAAGGGGGAGGAGAGAGATAGAGGGTGAGGGAATAGAGAGAGAAGAGAGAGAGAGTGAGAGGGGGAAGAGAGAGAGGGGGGGAAGAGAGAAAGAGAGAGAGGGCGGAGTGAGAGAGAAAGGGGAAAGAGAGGGGGGAGGAAGAGAGTGAAGAGAGAGAGGGATGAGAGAGGGAGGAAATAGAGAGAGATGGAAGAGTGAGAGGGAAAAGAGAGAGGTAGGGGGAGAGAGAGGGGGGAGGAGAGAGGGAAGAGAGAGAATCATATATATATATATACACACACACTTATTGACTCTCTCGCTCTCTCATGGGGGGCGCAAAATTTTTGTGTTGCCTAGGGCAGCACAAAGTCTAAATACACCACTGCACACCGCTCTCCTCCATCACCTGACACCACCGTCCTCCATCACCTGACACTCACCACCTGACACTCCCCACCGTCCTCCATCACCTGACACTCACCACCTGACACTCCCCACCGTCCTCCATCACCTGACACTCCCCACCGTCCTCCATCACCTGACACTCCCCACTGTCCTCCATCACCTGACACTCACCGCCATCACCTGACACTCACCACCGTCCTCCAATCACCTGACATTCACCGCCATCCTCCATCATCTGACACTCAACACCGTCTTCCAATCACCTGACACTCAACACCATCCTCCATCACCTGACACTCACCACCATTCTCAATCACCTAGTATGCATCTGACATACAGCATATGGGCTCTGTCTTCTAGTGGTAACACAGCCTCTATCCCTCACATCACTTCTTTCTGTTACCTGACACACACACACCGCTGTCCTCCATCACCTGACACACACTGCCGTCCTCCGTCACCGGACACACACTGCCGTCCTCCGTCACCTGACACACACTGCTGTCCTCCATCACCTGACACACACACTGCCGTCCTCCGTCACCTGACACACACTGCCGTCCTCCGTCACCTGACACACACTGCCGTCCTCCATCACCTGACACACACTGCCGTCCTCCGTCACCTGACACGCACTGCCGTCCTCCGTCACCTGACACGCACTGCCGTCCTCCGTCACCTGACACGCACTGCCGTCCTCCGTCACCTGACACGCACTGCCGTCCTCCGTCACCTGACACGCACTGCCGTCCTCCGTCACCTGACACGCACTGCCGTCCTCCGTCACCTGACACGCACTGCCGTCCTCCGTCACCTGACACGCACTGCCGTCCTCCGTCACCTGACTCGCACTGCCGTCCTCCGTCACCTGACACGCACTGCCGTCCTCCGTCACCTGACACGCACTGCCGTCCTCCGTCACCTGACACGCACTGCTGTCCTCCGTCACCTGACACTCTCCACCATCCTCCATCACCTGACACTCTCCACCATCCTCCATCACCTGACACTCACTGTTGTTCTCCGTCACCCGAAACAACGTTGTTTATTGATTTATAATATGGCAGTATTCTGGGCCAGACACACCTTACTACCCTCTTATAACAACTGGCTAGACTGCTTCTTCTATTGGATTTACACCTCATAATATTGTAGGCAAATCAGGTTTGTTTCTCACTGCATCTTACCTCCAGAATACCCATTTGCCTTATTTGTGTATTGAAATTCCAGATATGGATCCAGATGACAAAAGCAGTTTGAAAAAAGACAAAGTTGCAATGGTAAGCTGTTTATTTCCCTCATTCAGCCATGACAATGTGCAGAATGTAGCAACCTGTAGTAGTAAAGGATAACTAAACCCAAGAATAAATATTAATATAGTCCAGCTTACCATTCTTTAGATGTGGTGGCTGCATTAGTTTACATTTTTCAGGCTAAGGATATTTTCAGCAAGTATGGAATATACTTGTTGATCTTGCTAGAAATTTTCTGGAGAGTCCTTATGCCCTCCTGTGAGCTGAATTAGTAGCATAAAACATCTGACATTGCATAAAACTCATTCTTTTTGCTAGAAAATTACTGAAAACCCACAAACCTTGTATTATTAATTTTGTCAGAGACCCTGGAGAATAAAATGGTGGTTGTTGCAATTTTGGTATTTGCGTAGCAAATTTTTCAACCACAATTTTTTTTTTCAGTAAAAAATACACTTTAATTAATTTTAATGCAGTACCTGCAGCATCTGCACCCTCACACTCCATTGGTCTGGTCCTGATGTCATCAAGACCAGAGCAGGGGTCCATAGCCCTGCACTGTATGTCAGGTTGCTGAAGAACAGTCCATCACCAGATTGTGAGGGAGCCCTGCCTGCCGGGGAAGCTGAGGATCAGGTAAGTAAGGCAGGTTCTCCTCCCTGGACTAAATAAGCAGTTAACCTTTGCAGTGCTGGTGTAGCCTCACTACAATGATAATACGAGGGACATTCAAGTCAAACCGGGACCTATAATTTTTCAGGTATAAAAATGGATGCTAGCGTGGCGATACTGCACGCAGTAGTGAGTGGCAAGTGTGTCCTATCAGTCTAGGTTCACACCTATGCAGTTTGCATTTGATCCCTTTTTTGTGGTACGTTTTGGGTTTTTGCACATGCGTTTTTGCCATGTTTTAATGCGCTTTGCGGTTTTATTTTGGCCAACTTGTTGCTGGGCAGATTAACCTCCTTAGCGGTATTCCCGAGTGTAGCTCGGGGTAAAATTTCAGTACCAAGAGCGGTATCCCCGAGCTACACTCGGGCTTACCATGCGGCGCTGCATAGGGAGTCCCTGCAGAGCTTACCTTGTCCTTCGCTCCCGCGATGTGTCCCCTGCAGCGTCCCCGGCCATCTCCTCCGGCCGATGCCGGCATCTGGCTTCTGTGTTCCAGTCCCTGTGACGTCAGGACGTACGGGAGCCGGAACCGGCGGCAAATTTGAAATTTTTAAAAAATGTAATTTTTTTAAAAATGATTATTACATAAAAAAAAACATTGCTGTTTCAACCCATTTCACATACATATTGTCCCGAGTGCTTTGTCCTGTGCCCTGCCTGCATTTTGACTGTTCTTTCTGCCTGGAAACTTAGAAAAGTCCATGGCGTCCAAAAAGTGTCCCTTTAGGTCAAAAGCGGTTTTAGACCGGCTAGAGAACAGCGATAGTAAATTAGAACCACTTGCAGAATTGAGTGATAATGATTCGTGGAGAAATTCGTCATCAGACACTGAAAACGATTTTGCGACTTTGCTCAGCGATGTGCGAATTTGCCTCTGTATTTCAAATTTCAGTGTTTTTGGTTTGATTATATTATTGAATTAAATGTATTATTATTATATTATTATTTTTTATGATTATTTATTAAATTATAATTTATGATTTCGTGTTTCAAATTTTATCATATCCGGGATGTATAATAGACTCTTGTTCGGACAGATTTCAGTGAGTTATTCCTAAAAATTACAGGCCTACAATAAAAAACTACATATTTCCATGCAAAAGAATGTACCGCTTTCAGCACCAAAAATCTGAAATAATCATACCGCCGAGGAGGTTAAAAACACATCAAAAACACGCAAAACACAATGCTTGCGTTTTTTGTATGTGTTTTCTTTGAAGTCTATTGGACTAAAAACCTAAACTGCTGTGGGAAAAGAAGTGCCTGACCCTTTTCAAAAGACGCACCCCCAAAAAACCGCATAGATGTGAACGTGATCCATAAAAAATCATGGTAAATGGCATGCACTGCGTTCCTGCAAAACGCATAAAAAAAAATCACACAGGCGTGAACCTGGCCTTACTGATAGGCGACACACATGTCATGGGCCAGTCCAGAGACCAATAATCAAGATGGCAGACAACAGTGTTGGTGCGTGCATGGAACAGTGTGTGGTGATGACGTTTCTTGTGAATGAAGGGGCAAAACCCGCAGATATCTACAGAAGACACAAGCACAGTGCAGTGATGAGATGCTCAGTCACAGGAAGACATTTGAATGGTGTAAACGTTTCAAAGATGGCGCTACGTCCGTCAATGATGATCCCAGCCGTGGTGGTTCCCAGCCAATAGCAGTCATTCCTGTGAACATTCAGTGCGTAGATCGCCTGATCCTGGATAATCGACACAATCTGTTGTGAACTTGCACAAGAGACCAAACTTTCTGTGGGAACGGTGAACACAATGATGATGAAGTGAAGTCGGCTGTCCTAGGTTGGTTCAGGCATACTGACAGATCTTTCTACTCCAAAGCTTTCCAGGCATTGGATAAAACATTGGGCTAAGTGTATAAATGTAGCAGGGGAGTATGTGGAAAAATAAATGCAGTTTCCACTCCTTGAAATTTGTTCTTTTATAAACTCAGAAGTCTCAATTTGACTTGAATGCCCCTCCTGCAACAATTTCCCAGCATTGGGCTTTAAACTAAACTTCATAGCTTGACAGATCCAATCACCAGCCTTAGGTGTATTTCTTCTCCTTTTTTTTTTTTCATTTGATCTGTCATTTACTGTAAGTACATATTTCAGAGAGCTCTGTGTCTTCACTCACATTTCTTGCCAGCACAGGAAGTGAGAGGGAGGACTTTGGCCTGATATGAGATTATTGCATATATTAAGCAGCACTCAGCATGGGTCAGGGTCGTGCTGCAGCTCTGGCTGTGTGCCCAGACTTGTCCAGACCCAGAATTATTAATAGTGTTCCTGCTTGCAAAATAAAAACGTTAAGATGGGTTGGAATTTTTTTTAAATCATATATAATCTGACTATAAACTACGTGCTAATCCTATATAATCTGACTATAAACTACGTGCTAATCCTATATAATCTGACTATAGGGTACGTGATCATCATATATAATCTGACTATAGGGTACGTGATCATCCTATATAATCTGACTATAGGATACGTGATCATCATATATAATCTGACTATAGGGTACGTGATCATCATATATAATCTGACTATAGGGTACGTGATCATCATATATAATCTGACTATAGGGTACGTGATCATCATATATAATCTGACTATAGGGAACGTGATCATCATATATAATCTGACTATAGGGTACGTGATCATCATATATAATCTGACTATAGGGTACGTGATCATCATATATAATCTGACTATAGGGTACGTGATCATCATATATAATCTGACTATAGGGTACGTGATCATCATATATAATCTGACTATAGGGTACGTGATCATCATATATAATCTGACTATAAAGTACGTGATCATATATAATCTGACTATAGGGTACGTGATCATCCTATATAATCTGACTATAGGGTACGTGATCATCATATATAATCTGACTATAGGGTATGTGATCATCATATATAATCTGACTATAGGGTATGTGATCTTCATATATAATCTGACTATAGGGTACGTGATCATCATATATAATCTGACTATAGGGTATGTGATCATCATATATAATCTGACTATAGGGTACGTGATCATCATATATAATCTGACTATAGGGTACGTGATCATCATATATAATCTGACTATAGGGTACGTGATCATCATATATAATCTGACTATAGGGAACGTGATCATCATATATAATCTGACTATAGGGTACGTGATCATCATATATAATCTGACTATAGGGTACGTGATCATCCTATATAATCTGACTATAGGGTACGTGATCATCATATATAATCTGACTATAGGGAACGTGATCATCATATATAATCTGACTATAGGGTATGTGATCATCATATATAATCTGACTATAGGGTACGTGATCATCATATATAATCTGACTATAGGGTACGTGATCATCCTATATAATCTGACTATAAAGTACGTGATCATCCTATATAATCTGACTATAGGGTACGTGATCATCATATATAATCTGACTATAGGGTACGTGATCATCCTATATAATCTGACTATAGGGTACGTGATATATATAATCTGACTATAAAGTACGTGATCATCATATATAATCTGACTATAGGGTACGTGATCATCATATATAATCTGACTATAGGGTACGTGATCATCATATATAATCTGACTATAGGGTACGTGATCATCATATATAATCTGACTCTACCCGCAATCTCAAAACGCACTACAATCACACAATGGATTTACAATGTCACCTAAAACGCAGTGCTGTGTTGGCACGATTGTCACGTGGCAATCGCAGCAAATTGCAGTGTGTGAAACTTGTTGACCAAAAAGTAGCAGGAAATTCTTTTGGGCAACAACCTTCACGCAATGCGATTTGCTGTGATTTTCATGCAATTTACTGCACGACAATTCATATCGCATGAAGTTTGTTGCCAATAAAAGGAGCTGGAGCTTCGTTTGGGTGAAGATCTTTGGGGAGGGCAGAATTGCAGGGATCCCAAAGCGCCCAGGTGTGAATGGAGCCGCCCTAGTTCACACATATGCAGTTCTGGATGTGTTTTCAACGCACAGCTTCACATGACAAGCTATAGATATTACGTGTTCCTATTGAGGTGGTTCACACAGATGCGATCCACACGCATTGCATTTTGAGCGCCATTACAAAAAGTTCCTGTGCGAGTTTGTAGCGGTGCACTCCAGATTCCCAAGTGATAGAGTAGAGTGTCACATAGAGAAAAGTGTTCACATAGGATTGCTATTGACAAGAGTTTTTGCATTAAAGTCAGTGGGTGGATGCTTTGCATTGAAGTCAATGGGTGGACGTTTTTGCATTGAAGTCAATGGGTGGACGTTTTTTGCATTGAAGTCAATGGGGTGGGCGTTTTTGCATTGAAGTCAACGGGAGGTGATTTTGCATTGAAGTCAATGGGACACCATTTTGCATTGAAGTTAATGGGACGCAATTTTGCATTGAAGTCAGGGAGGAAGTTATGGAGAGAGAGAGCACATAATCGCATGTGTACTGAAATGGCACAGAAACTGGAATGACATGGAATGCCATATGTGTGAACCCAGGCTAAAGAGGCTGCTTGCCCACAGCAGGGCTAAATGGAAAAAAACACCTGCCCGGCACCTGGAACTGCATGTCCCGGACATCAGGCGATTTAAATGGTGCATCCCTGTGTACTCACGCCAGCATCAGCTGCACTTCATTGCTCCACATTGGCTGGATAGTGATAGTGACAACACCGGGCCATGCCTCTGCAGGGTTGTCCTCAGAGCCGCTAGTAGTCTCCTCTAGGGCTGCATTACCTTGGAAATGTTTTGGCACATCAGACAGTTTCCTAATAAAGCGCATTTATCTCGTTGGCTGTCTCTCTCAATATTAAAACAAAATGTCTGTTTTCCAGAATGTGATCAATAAACTGAAGAAGGACAAAGACACGCCAAAGGTAACTGCGATTATGTACTAATATAAGAAGTGGATTGTTTTTGTGGGTTCTAACCGCTTCCCTGGCCTGACTGCAGGGATCAGGTTCAGCTGAGAATGGGATTTTTCTGTTATTCTATCATAGTAAAGAATTATTTAAAGGGAACCTGTCATGAGCGATATATACACTCACCGGCCTCTTTATTAGGTACACCTGTTCAATTATTTATTACAGGTACTTATATAGCGCCTTCAATTTACGCAGCGCTTTGCATATATATATTGTACATTTACATAAGTCCCTAACCCTCAAGGGGTGTACAATCTAAGGTCCCCAACTTTTATTCATACATACATACTAGGGACAATTTAGACAGGAGCCAATTAACCTACCATTTTGGAATGTAGGAGGAAAGCGGAGGTAACCCACGCAAGCACAGGGAGAACATGCAAACTCCAGGCAGGTGTTCAACTGCTTGGTAACACAAATTGCTAATCAGCCAGTCCCATGGCAGCAACTCAACGCATATTTAGGCATCTAGACGTGGTGAAGACGACTTGCTGAAGTTCAAACCAAGCATCAGAATGGGGAAGAAAGGGGATTTAGGTGACTTTGAACATGGCATGGTTAGTGGTGCCATACAGCTGGTCTGAGTTAAAAAAAAAACTGCTGATCTATTGGGATTTTCACACACAACCATCTCTACGGTTTACAGAGAATGGCCCGAAAAAGAGAAAATATCCAGTGAGTGGCAGTTGTGTGGACGAAAATGCCTTGTTGATGTCGGAGGAGAATGGGCAGACTGGTTCCAGATGATAGAAAGGCAACAGTAACTCAAATAACCACTTGTTACAACCAAGGTATGCAGAATACCATCTCTGAATGGCAACACGTTGAATCTTGAAGACGATGGGCTACAGCAGCAGAAGACCACACCGGGTGCCACTTCTGTCAGCTAAGAACAGGAAACAGAGGCTACAATTCTCACAGGCTCAACAAAATGGGGACAATAAAAGATTGGAAAAACATTGAATTTGGCGTAAACAACATGAAAGCATGGTTCCATCCTGCCTTGTATCAACGGTTCAGGCTGGTGGTGATAGTGCTAATGGTGTGGGGAATATTTTCTTGGCACACTTTGGGCCCTTTAGTGCCAATTGAGCATCGTTTAAACACCACGGCCTATGTGAGTATTGTCGCTGACCATGTCCATCCCTTTATGACTCCAGTGTCCCCATCTTCTGATGGCTCCTTCCAGCAGGATAATGCAATATGTCACAAAGATCAAATCCTCTCAAACTGCTTCCTTGAACATGACAATTAGCTCATTGTACTCCGATGGCCTCCACAGTCACCAGATCTCCATCCAATAGAGCACCTTTGGGATGTGGTGGAACTGGAGATTCACATCATGGATGTGAAGGCCACAAATCTACAGCAACTACGTGATGCTATCATGTCAATTTGGACCAAAATCTCTGAGGAACGTTTCCAACACCTTGTTGAATTTATGCCAAGAAGAATGAAGGCAGTCCTGAAGGCAAAAGGGGGTCCAACCAGTACTAGCAAGGTGTACCTAATAAAGTGGCCAGTGAGTGTACATGGTATATCATTCTTGACCTCCTTCTGCTAATGCTAGCTGTCATGCTAATCCTATGATCCAATGAGTACCTGTAGGTATAAAAAGTATTAAATCCAGCTAACTGGTAGCAAGTCAGCACTATAGGGCACCACACTGTGTAAATAATCCTGGTCAGCATGGCCAAAAAATAAAGAAAAAAAGGTATATGGGATTTTAACGGTGCAAAAGTTCCCTCAGCATAAATGCACACAAATATACCCGTATAAAATTTAATAAGGCTTTATTACAAAGTATCTAAAACACTCCCTGGCTTCTTGGCAGGGATTGGCTTGGATGCCCGGTGCTCTCCTCTCGTCTTTCTGGTCCTTTTTCGGTGGGTTTCCCACATTGGTTGGATAGTCACCAGCAAGGTGCTCTTTTCTTCCCCACATTTGCACCCCTGAAGAAGCCTGCTTGGCGAAACGCGTTGGAATCTACCATCCTCCTAATACATCAGCTTATCAAGTCTATGATTATGTCATTGTCAAGGTCCTACCTTTTCCCAGAGGTTATGTTACTCCTTGTGCTGGCGTCCATCTTGGATTTCTGCTGAGCATGGTGGGAATCCTTTATGCCTTCAGGTCTCTGTGGTCCATCCCCCAGAGGGGTGTGGCTGATGACATATAAGCCTGTGGCCCGCACATGCTCTTTGCACTTGTGTCTTGTGTCTTTGTGTTGCTATTACTCTGTTCTGACTCTCGTGACTCTCCTGGAATCTGACTCGGCTTGTGACTCGACTATTCTTTGCGTTCTCCTTTGATCTGACCCTCTGTTGCTGAACCCGGCTCGTGACCTGTGATTCTCGTCTGCTGTCCTGTACCGTTTTGTCCCGTTGTTGTTGACCCGGCCTGCCTGACTACTCTATTGTCTTTTCCACCAGCTACACGCCATTGGCGGCGGCCATTACCGCAACTGAGGTGTCTCGAGGGCCGCGACCTGGTTCCTGGCTGCGTCAAGTCCATCCCCACCATCAGGGGCCCTGGTGAAGGGCAGCCTGGGACTTAGACTCCGCGCCCTGAGGGACTTCGGTCTGTGGATGGTGGTTGTCGTCAGCCAGTGCGTTACATTGTGTAGGCCTGCCTGTCCGTTTCTCAGCTCCTGCCCTGACAGTCATCACTATATCTTGAAGGAAGGTGGTTTTGGCTTGATTACATCTAAGAGCTGTGTTTATCCTGACTCTCTCTACAGCAGACAACATGTATTTGTGTCTTCCTGTTTTTAGATACTTTGTAACCAAGCCTTATTAACTTTTTACGGGTAGATTTGTGTGCGTTTATCTGGAGGGAATTTTTGCACCGATAAATCCCATATATCTTATTTTCTTTATTTTTTGATAATTCTACTAGGGATGTGGTGCAGATGGATCAGCCATACCTTTTTTCTATGATTTTCAGCGTAGCACCAGAATTTTGGATGGCTTGGGGAAGAGTTAGAACCCCTGTTATGTTTTTCTTGCTGTATTACCCAGACACAACAGACAATAAGCAAATCTTGTTAACAAGTTAACACATGCAGCAAAAAAGTGTTCTTGTGCTGGATAAAAAAAACAAAAATTACATCCACCTCACAAATAGTAAATGCCAGAAGACCTGCTGGCTGATCGAGAAAAAACAACCCATCTATGCCCAGCTTATAGTGGTTGTAAACCCTCAACATATACCCAGGAGTGTATTTACCACAAGGCAAACAAGACATTTGCCTAGGGCGGCATTTTTTAGGTGGGCAGCAATGCACCCAGAAGAAGGGACATGAGCAGCATGGAGACCAGTTGAGATCCGAAAGAGGCTGTGGGCTTCTTGATTGTGTATACAGAGCCCAGCTGTTGTTCCTGGGGATGGCCAAAGTTGCTGATGAGGGGGGGTTGTTAGTGGAAGGCTCTCTCGGGGGGCGTCCAATTTCTGTGTTGCCTAGGGCAGCACAAAACCTAAATACACCACTGCATATACCCAGTGAAATGACCGGTCTCAGGTAATACACGGGGATTAAACAAAGCCTCCTACATAAGTTGTACCTGTTTATCTGCAGTGTTCTCTTCCCTACATCTTGCTGTCAGAAAACAGGGCAGCTGAAGAGCTCAGGGAGAGCTGATTGGAGGGAAGAGACACACCCCCCCCCCCCCTCCACACAGCTCACAGGAACAGAGCTGAAGCTATCAATCTGCTGGATGTCCCTCCTCTGTCACCATTTTTCTCTTGGTGTCAGGAAAACTTGAATTGATTCATGCTGACAGCAGAGGAGTGAGGCAGCAGGCAGAAATGACACCTAGTGCTCTGGATTGAGACAAGTACACACTATAAATGGATATGCTTTTCTCATATTTCATCTTTAAGGTTTACAACCACTTGAAGTGTCACATGACTCAGGCAGAGAATTGTGGGGGAGGGGTGGCTTGCATTCATGTTCATCTCATACCCCCGAAGTGCAGGTGTTGTTGGGTAGCCTGGGAATCTTTCTTATGTTTTATTTACACCATGGATGGTAAGTTCTGGCATGTTGCTGCGCCTACTGTCTACCAGCTAGGTTCGCTCAGGCCTTCTTATTCAGTATCTGTAACCAATAAAACTGAGCATAGAAGAAAAAAACATCTAAACCTATCAAAGCGATCATTAGATCTGGAAATATAGGCAGCTGAAGTTATATGCAAATCTTGACTTTTTTTTCTTGTAAAAGTCAGACTTGACCTTCCCCCTCTCATCTCCTGAGCTTCTCTATTGGCCGTTATTTTACTAGGCAGATTCAATGACCAACAGGTGGGCCCAGCAGACAAGTAGGGGGCAGGTCAAACTCTTTTCACTTTACATTTGCATATATTTAAACAGCTCCTATCTCAGGATCTAGTGATCATTTCACCAAAGGTGACCTCTATTTGTGCACTTTTTTTTGTTATAGAAGATTACTTTAAATGGTCATCTTTCTGGTTTGTACTGTGATGTGACCGCTTCCCTCTCTCACTGGCTACAGTCAATGGCAGATGACATATTTTATGGGTAGCACAGTGGCTAAATGGTTAGCACTCCCGCCTGACAGCACTAGGGTCATTGGTTTGAATCCCAACCACGGCACCACCTGATTGGAGTTTGCATGTTCTCCCTGTGCTGGTGTGGGTTTCCTCAGGGTACTCCAGTTTTCTCCCACACTCCAAAGACATGCTGGTAGGTTAATTGGCTCCTGTCTAAATTGGCCCTAGTATATGAATGTAAGCTAGGGACCTTAGGTTGTACACCCCTTGAGGGTTAGGGACTGAAGTGAATGTACAATATATATGTAAAGTGCTGCGTAAATTGATGGTGCTATATAAGTACCTGAAATAAATAAATATTTCTCTCATGACAGAAGCCTTAAAGTGTTACTAAACCCACAACAGTAAAATCAGCCTGTAAAGTCTTGTTATACTCACTGTGGAACCTAAAGGGTTAATTCTCTGCATTGTGTAAAAAGGCTGTTTGATCCTTTTTTTCTCTGATCCTCCCCTTCTACTGTCCCCAATCCATCTTCTCATAGAACAGAGCCTTGGGGGCAATATGCTTGTGCTCAGTTTGGTGTGTATTGCTAGAGAGTTTTTTTTTTTTTTTTTTCTCTTGGGAGAGTGCATGTGATCAGCACTGTCCAGACAGGGGGTCAGGGGTTACATAGTTATTCTGGCTGAAAAAAGACAACAGTCCTTCCAGTTCAACCATTAAAAAAAAGTTATAATCCTATGTCCACAGTTGATCCAGAGGAAGGCAAATAACCCAGCAAAGGATGATCTAATTTGCTCCTGCAGGGAAAAAAATTCCTTCCTGATCCCCCGAGAGGCAATCGGATATTCCCTGGATCAACTTTACCTATAAATGTTATATTCTGTGTATCAAAGAAACAATCCAGGACTTTTTTAAAGCAATCCACTGAGCTGGCCAGAACCAACTCTTTAGGGAGTCTATTCCACATTCTCACAGCTCTCACTGTGAAGAAACCTTTCCGTGTTTGGAGATTAAGTTTCTTTTCCTCCAGACATAAAGAGTGCCCTCTTGTCCTTTGTGAGGTCCAATGTCCTGCAGCCTCATAGGACAATCAGGGGAGAATGAAAACTCCTCCAAGCTTTAACCAGTGCTCTGCTGGACACTGATAGAAGTCACTGCTCTAACTGCTGATGAGAAAAGGTATTTAGCAGTTTATATTTACTAAAACAATTGCATTTCTATGTCCTGTGTACTGTGGGAGACCAGAGATCGTGAATGCCAGGTCCTGGGTTTAGTAACACTTTATATACAGGGGCTAAACAATCGTCAATGTCATAGTGTGTAAGGATGCAGAACGCTTGTATACTTTGTAATACATCACTATTAGGCTTTTATTAGCTTCCTATTGGCCTTTCTTTGACTGCACAGTCATTCTCCTCTACTATACAAGAGATTAATGTCTCTGGCAGGCCTTACATACTTGAGCACCAGAAGACACTCGACACCTGAAAATCTCTTCTTATCTCCTGTTTGTGTGGCTGGTGTTTCTCCAACTTGTTTAGTAAGAAGATCTTTGTCTTTTTTTTCCTGACAGGACCTGAGTGCAGACAAGGACATACAGGTACGGTTTATACATTTACATTAACCAGATATGACTTAAAGGGGATCTCCACCAAATAGGAGCAGTGATACAGAGAGGAGCCCACTCTGTGCACGGCCCTCTGGGATTGGGCCTTGTGCATTCAAAGAGAAGTATTAGATTGTAAGCTCCCAGGATCAGGTCCTCCTAATCCTCCTGTATTGTTGCTGTATTGTCTCCCGTTATATTGTAAAGCGCTGAGCAAACTTGGCGCTATATAAATCCTGTATAATAATAATAATATTTGGATTAATAACAAATCAGTTTGAAAATGAAATATAATTAACCCAAACCCATTCCAGTCTGCATCAAGCCTTCATGATCTCACTCATTCCTAGTGATTTGATTGGGTAAAGCAGAGTGCCAGCCAAAGCTTTTTTTCTTAGTTTTGGAGAGGATTGGGAGAGGTAAGAACCTCCATTCGATTATCGTATTGCGGGTTTTGCAGCAATTGAGATTTCCCTTCACTTCCTTTACCGAAAACCCCCAAAAATATATTTTGGCTGGTGTTGGGTTTTAAACATTGTTTTGGCCCTGTATATGGATAAATTCTTTCTTTAAAGTGGATGTAAAGGCTCAAGGTTTTTTACCTTCATGCATTCTATGTGCATCAGCTCCTCCTAAAACTTACCTGAGCCGCATCACAATCCAGCGATGTGCACAAGAGCCTCAGCTCTCCGGGGACTCCCCTCCTCATTGGCTGAGACGGCAGCGGGAACCAGTCGCTCCCGCTGCTGTCAGTCACAGCCAGTGAGCCAATGAGGCTACTCATTTATGTTTATTATACACTGACAAATGGAAAAAAAAAATTGTTAAACAAAAAAGTAAATTTTTAAAAATAGTCTTTTCAGCAATGTACTGTCTTCTTTAATCACTTTAAAGCGGAGTTCCACTCACCTGTCAAAAAATAAAAGTCAGCAGCTACAAAAAACTGTAGCTGCTGACTTTTAAAATACAGCCACTTACCTGTCCCTCGGTCCCGTGGTGTGTCCTCTGCAGCCCATTTCACCGGCCGTCCTGGATTCAAGGAGGCCAGCATCTTCAGTGTGATAGCTTGCAGCTTCACAGCCGGGTGCCCACTGCGCATGCACGAGAAGTGCTGTGCTTCATGAATGGTCCTGTAGTCTTCTGGGACCTGTCACATGTCCCAAAAGACTACAGTGAGGGAAGACACCTTCTGTTTCCCATCTCCTAGGCGATCGGGCCAGACGTGGGATCGGGTACCTATCAAATTCAGGTACCTGCTCCCCCCCCACCCCCCAAAGGTGCCAATCCTTAATGGGGAGCGGGGGAGCAGTCCTTAAAGCGGAACTTCCCCTTTTGGGTGGAGCTCCACTTTAAGGACAGAGGTCCACGCTAATCTTAATGCCTGAAACCAGTTTTACAACTTTGACATGTGTTCGTAAAACTGTGAATATCTTTGTATGCACACGTGTGCGTGTATCCAGGTGAATTATAACTTGTTTTTTTTTTGTTTTTTTTTTCAGGACAAATTGGCCTTTCATTTGGTGGTAATTGTTATTGTAAATCTCCTTTTTTTTTTATTTTTTGTTATAAAAGGAAAACTGGTTGAAACTAGTAAAAAAAATTATTTTTTACATTTAACTTTATTTTTTATTTTTTTGCCATTGTGATAACCCACCAAAGAACAACCAAAAATCCTTTTCCTACTCCTGATGATTACAGTGATGCCACAAATGCTCAGCAATTTACAATATAACGTGAGACAATACAGCAACAATACAGTTCAATATAAGAGGGATAGAAGGGCCCTGCTCCTTGGAGCTTACAATCTAGGAGGGAGGGGCTAGTGGTACAAAAGGTAGTAACTGTGGGGGATGGACTGGTAGGAGGAGTAGAAGATTCCATTATTAGCTGGGGGCAGGATAGGCTTCCCTGAAGAGATAGGTTTTCAGAGATCGCCTAAAAGTGAGCAGAGTAGGCTATAGTCTTATAAATTGGGGTAGAGAATTCCAGAGGATGTGGGAAGCTCGGGAGAAGTCCTGGAGATGAGCATGGGAGGAGGAGACAAGGGAACTAGAAATGTGCATGAAATGTGTATATTATTTGTTGTTTGTATTCATAGGAGGGCATTTTGGGATTTTTTGTCCTACCTAAAAAAACACTGACCATGACCTTGACCCTGACACTGACCTAGACCAAATCCTAATTTAGCTTTTTTTATCTTTATTGTATTCTTTTTCTTTTTTTTTTTTTTTTACACTGACCTTTTTGGTTTATATTTTTCCCCTCTACATTGTATCATTTTCACCCTTCAAGCAGAGAGAGGGCAAGCTGTACAATTACTGATTACTGCGATAGCCAATCACAGGTTATCACAGTGATCATGTGATTGAGAGCCGGTCCTCCCTGCTCCTGATCTTTAGTATGTGACCCGAAGCTGATCCTCATGCTGGGAGAGGGTTATGCCACATGCTCCCAGCACAAACACAGTTACATACATATGTGGCCCAATGGAAGAAGGTTCCAGCTATGTACATACACTCAGCAAGGGGTTAAATATGTAACCGCTGCTTGCTAACTTACAAACCTCTTGTAATCACCTTGTCACAATGGCCATGCTGGTTACATGATTGGGAAACAACCTGATTGGTTCCCAGTTGTTCGTTGAGCCCGGAGCTGTCAGGGAGAACATATTCTGCCAGCTAGGAATGCTCACCTGTGTCAAAGCAGGAATGTTAATCTACAGCCTGCAGATGCCTGCTGATTAACCCTTCATGGACACAGCTGGAGTGAACCTATACTCTGCCCATGCAAAGCAGAACATCAGGATTAATTACCGCTCATCTCCTCTCCAGCATATAATGACCGTCTCTGCATCCTCCTGCTGCATTCAGCCGCATAAAATACCTGGTACTCCAAAGTATAAGGGTCATTCGCAGTCCCCCACATGACAGCTCTAGTGCTTGGCTATTGGCCGCTCAGGCATCAGCGCTGTTGTATTCAGCAGGGCTTCTCCAGCCTACTGAAGAGCAACCGAGAGCTCATTCTAGGGGGAAAAGGGAGCAGTGGGGGGAGTTAAAGTGATTCTAAAGGTTCTTTTTTTTTTTTTTTTTTTGTAAAATAACAAAAAACATCAGTAATAAAATAAGAATAGCGCCAAATAAATAGTATCAAATATGCAAACGATATGTGCAGCTGCAAACCTAACCAAAAAAAGGTACATAAATCAAATAAAATAGGTATGTGCTAATATCAAACTGATATCATCTACAGTGTTTAAATAAATCAGAAAATGTCCATCTCACAGAAACTTGTATATAAATGTGCAAAAAAATTTTTTTGTGTCAAATAAAGTCCAATAAGGTGATAAATAAATATATATTCAAAAAACCATTTGCAGTGTTCAAATAATTCCACCGTGACAGAATCCACCATCAGATAAAATGAATAAACTCACCAGAGCTACTTGCTGATCAAATTATAAACCAGCATAAGCGCTTTTACTCTGGGAGCGACGTTCTGCAGGAAATTCGTAAGAATATTCAATTGGTTTGGGAGCAATACTCTGCAGGAGGGCACTCAGCAAAAAATGGAATCCTACTAATTGGTCACCACCTCTTCATATGATATAGCAGTACTCGGGAATTCAAACACAGAGAGCTTCATAACGCAATAACGTTTAAAACATCCTCTTTATTAAAAATCAGTATGCTACAAACTCACAAGTAAGGTGTCCCAGCCGACACCAGCAATAACAGCGTACTAGATAAGAGACGAACCCAGCCTGTTACGGCTCGTGTACCGTGGCCAGCCTCGGGAAACGTCTTGACGTCACATCCACAAGCCCCGACCTATGCGTTTTGTCACTAGACATCCTCACGGAGCGGAACATCTGCTCTTTCATCTGCATTTTCTGATTTATTTAAACACTCTAGATGATATGAGTTTGATGTTAGCGCATACCTATTTTATTTGATTTAAAATAACAAACATGTTATACTTACCTGTTGTATGCAGTGGTTTTGCACAGCGCAGCCTGAATCCTCCTCGTCAGGTCCCCCTGCTGGCGCTCCTGGCTCCTCCTGTCTGTCGGGTGCCCCCATAGCAAGCAGGTTCCTATGGGGGCACCCGAGCAGGCTGTTCCCAAACTGCTGCTTCGTGTGTCCATTTACACACGGAGCCGTGGCTTTGTCCCACCCCCTCTCTCTCCTCATTGGCTGACTGGCTGCGATTGACAGCAGCGGGACCCAATGGCTCCCGCTTGCTGTTTTAGCCAATGAGGAAGCAGAGACCCGGGCCAGCTGAGGCTGTTGTGCTAATCGATGGATTGCGATTGAGGGGGCTGGGGGCACTGCTGCACAGAGAAGGTTTTTTACCTTCATGCATAGAATGCATGAAGGTAAAAACCTTGAGCCTTTACAACCACTTTAAGGGAAAGTAAGTATAAGATGCTTGGGGGAAGGGCACTGATTCTTAACATGAACTTTGCCTTACATTTGTAAAGGATAGGTTCACTTTAAGGGTAATCTACAGTATACTGAGAAGAACATGGAACATGGACCTTTTTTTATATATATATATATATATATATATATATATATATATATATAAGGCTTCATGCACACAGGACATTAAAAAAACTTTCCTAGAAGCTGTCCTCCTGGCACCAGCGTTTTTGCTGAAGTAAAAGTATCTTTTACAAGCGTTTAGGCACATTTACAAGCATCAAGCGCTTGGGCATTAGTTCATTTCTTTGGCCAGAATGATCATTTATTCTGCCCATTGAAATTATTTAACGCTCAAGAGCTAAAACACACTAGCCTTTTGACGCGTTTAGATGCGTTCAGCCGCATCAAGCTTTTTTTTTGCCAAAATGTTGCTGCTCCTGGACACACTGGCCCTTTGTTTTTTTTTTTTTTTTTTCCCGCTGGTACACGCTACTGCTACTAAAAGCTTCTAAAACTCTTCCTAATTTCCCCTCTCCCGGCTCCCTTCCCTTCCTTTCTGCTGTGCCTGTC